TGGCCGAAACATTACCACCAGCACCGAAAACCTAGGATCATCTTTCCCCTGCGGAGGCAAGCCCCCCCGCAGTTTGTGAGGCTGGTGTTCTCGAAGCGCCGCTGACGGCACCACCACCGGCTTTCTTCCTCCCGGGACTTCACCACCGGGCTCTTGTCCAAGTTGTATATTTTCCTGCACGTCAACTTCGGCTCCGCCCGATCCCTGGGCTTCGCCCCCTCCCGGCCGCGTGAGGCCCCGCTTTCTTCCGCCCTCTCTCTGCTAATGAACGCTGTGCGCGCCCCGCTCAGCTTGCAGCGGAAGAGGTGCGCTCTCGCCCTGCAGATCAAAAGCTGTGGAGGCAAGCCCCTGTGTTGGTATTGGTGCCCATCTCCAGGCCTCCGAGGACCCCATCCGGGAAGCCTCCCGGCGAGGCGTGGGGCCAGGGAAGGCCTGCGCTCCTGCACCGGGCCCCGCCGCCTCCCGGCCTCTCGCCGAGCGCCCGCACGCCGCCGAGCAGTGTCGCCGCGTCGGCGAGCCTCCCCTCCTGCGGGGGCGGGGCGGCGCGCTCGATGCCGGGCTGTCGCGCTGGCAGGAGGAGGAGGAGGAGGAGGAGGAGGAGGAGGAGGAGGAGGAGGGGAGGAGGGGGGGGAGGGAGGGGAGGGGGAGGAGGAGGAGGAGGAGGAGGAGGAGGAGGAGGAGGAGGAGGAGGAGGAGGAGGAGATGGAGGAGCAGGAGGAGGAGGAGGAGGAGGAGGAGGAGTTGTTGGGGATGTGTCCTCCTCCCTCCTCCTCCTCCTCCTCCTCCGCCTCGTCGTCCTCCTCGTCGTCGTCCTCCTCCTCCTCCTCCTCCTCCTCCTCCTCCTCCTCCTCCTCCCCTCCCTCCCCCCTGTCCATCGCGCTCCAGGAGGCCGAGGATCCGCAGCAGCAGCCGCGACAGTCGACGCGCGGCATCGGCGGCGGGCGGCGCTCGGGTGGACTCCCGCTCGGGCGCCCGGCGCTCGAAAACATGATGATGAACCATGATGATCATCAGCATCACCATCATCATCATCATCATCAGCATCATCATCATCATCATCATCATCATCATCATTATCATAATCTTAATCTTAGTCATCATCCTCATCATCATCATCATCATCATCATCATCAACAACACAATCAGTATCATCATCGTCATCATCATCATCATCATCATCATCATAATAATCGTCATCATCGCCTGTGGGGATAGTGATCGGTCATCGATGCCACGAGCTCAGTTTGCCTCCTCCTGCGTATCCTCGAGCCGACGGTCGGGTAGCGCGTTGTCGGCGCGCGCCCCGCGGGCTCGGAGGAGCAGTGCTGTGTGGCGTAGAGTACCGCTAGGGTAGACTTCAGCCGCAGGGGAAACATGCGGCTGCTTGTCCCTGCAAATTTGCACGTGCGGGCTCCTCCTCCTCCTCCTCCTCCGCCGCGAAAGAGCCATCATCATCACCATCAGCATCAGCATCATCATCATTATCTTCAGCATCAGTAGCATCATCAGCATCATCATCATCATCATCACCATCATCATCACCATCATCATCATCATCGTCATCGTCATTGTCATTATCATCGTCATCAGAGGGGGGTCGCAGGCGATCTTTCTCCCCCAGCCCCCGACCTTTCAACGAAAAATGGAACGTGATCGTTTTTTATTCGTTGCTTTGCCGATCGGCGCGGGCCCTCGCACCCCCCCCCTCCCTTCCCCCCCCGCATGGAGCAGATCTTGGCTGCTTCTGGTTCCTGTTTCGAGAAGATGGAGCGTCCCCCGTACGACGCAGAGGTCCGGCACCAGACACCCCCCCCGCCCCCCCTTTCCGCCCAATGCCGAAACGTTGCATAAGAGAACGCTCACAACCGCTCAGAGATTGGAGGGGATCCCCAGGATTAAGTCGGACATGTCCCTTTACATGAGAAATATGTAAAAATAGTCAACAAATTGTCAGGGGACGATTTTTCCACCATTTTTATATCATACACATATATATAGGACTATTGGTCTTGCCTATTTGAATGTTTCGTCTAAAATCCGCCTGTAGGAAGACCTGCCCGACCGAACCCCAGGATACACTCCCGGGGGGGGCTCCGCGGACGCACCCCGTGTCGAGGAGGGCCACCTGCCCGGTGTACATCCCAGGGTTGGGCCCAACATGTTTGGTCCGTTCGAACGCCCCACGAAGCCTCGGACTCGAAGAAGAAACGCCACAAGCATATAAACTTTTGGCGCTCCGCGCGGATTTCTTGGATCCGCGCTGGGCCCCCCCCTGGCGGCGCCTCCGGCGCCGCCCCTGGCACGCTCCTTGCGTCAGGGAGGCAGACGTGGTGCAAGTGGCCGAACTTGGGTTCGAATCGACACCTCTATTACAGGAGGCCCATCGAGAAAAACCAGCCGACGAAACCTTTTTCGGGAAAATCGCCCGCAGGAAACTCAACCTCCCCAAAAAATCTCAAAGACATCTCGAATCCAAGACCTGTGGAGATCTCAAAAACCT